TACTGTATTATTCTTTAGTCACATTTTCATCTCTTACTTTTCTAAAGTTTTTGAGGGTCTTATTCTGTCATTTCTGCTGGTTTTTACTTTTGATGCCTATTTCTTTGGATATTTTATGATTTCTGTCTATAACTCATATTTCTTAGAACTGTGGGAATGTTTTGAGGCCTAGGAAGAAAATGGATTCTTCTAGAGGTTGTTTGCTTTTTCTTCTACCAGTCACCTGTTTTCTGCACAGTACCACTCTGGAACCCTGTGAAAAATATTCTCAGCCCTTATAGTGTAAATTAGGGCTGAAAGTCATGTGTGGGCTAATTTGGGGGGGGGTGGTTTATGAAATCTCGAGGGAGTATCTTCTGTTTTCCCCAACTCAGTAGCAGGGTTCAAGACAGGTAATTTCCCTTGTGTTCTCCTGGGAGTACAGGTGTATTTCTATTTCAGGCTTACAGTGGGGGTGCTGGTGGTTTGGGATTTCAGCTTGTGGAGGGAGGGGTCTCAGACTCCCTCACCTTTGGTGGTTCCTGGGTTTTTCCTCCTGTTCTCTTCCCACACTAAACAGACCTGTGAGGTTGTGAGCTAAAGCTCGGGGTCATCTGGTCTAGCAGCTGTCCTCAACTTACTTTGTCTTCATTCATTTTATCCTTACTAGTCCTTGTTGTTGTCTTGCTGGCTTAGTGATGGCATTTAAGATATTTTTCCTCCTATTTTTATCCAATATTCTTAGTTGTTTTCTGTGAGGAGGCCAGTCATTCCCTCCCTGTGCTGGAAATGAAAGCCTTGATTGCCTTTTGAGCCACCCTGTCACACAGCATTCTCATAGTATTTTTATGCTAACAATACAAAACGGAAAGTCACAGTCATTCGATTGTTAAAGATTATAATTTTAACTACCAGAAAAGAAAACTTTAGGTCTAGTTACAAATGATAGAAAGCTAACTTTAAGGAATAGTTAACATAAAAATATGAATGGACTTTTGACATTTTTAGCCACAAAAAAGAGGAATTGGAGGAAGTAAACCAATTAGAGAGAATATCTGTTTTATATTTTTAACAAAACTAGAAACGTAGGGTCGCCTGGGTGTCTCAGTTGATTAAATACCTGACTCTTTTTTTTTTTTTTAAGATTTTATTTATTTATTTGACAGACAGAGATGCGGGGCTCGATCCCAGGACCTGGGATCATGACCTGAGCTGAAGGCAGAGGCTTTAACCCACTGAGCCACCCAGGCGCCCCTAAATACCTGACTCTTGATCTCAGCTCAGGTCTTGGTCTCAGGGTCCTGAGTTTAGCCCCACCTTGAGCTCTGCACTGGGTGTGACGCCTACTTAAAAAAACTAGAGACTTAGAATTTTTACTTCTTCTTCTTCTTCTTCTTTTTTTTTTTTTTTTTATAATTTTAAGTGGGCTCCCACATCCTGTGTGGGGCTCAAACTCAGGACCCTGGGATCAAGAGTCACACGCTCCGCCAACTGAGCCAGCCAGGTACCCCTGGAAACTTGGAATTTTTAAAAAAGCTAGTATGGTATGGCAGTGACTAACATATTAGAGTATTTATATAATTTTTAAAAATACATCATAATATTTACTGATTTAATTATTAACAATTAGGAGCATGAAATACAGAAAACACCAACAGAAAATGCAATTTTTGAGGGGATCCCTGATGAATCAGCTCCTTACGACTTGGGGGTGAGCGATAGTTATTTCTACAGTCTCAGTTTTAATACCAGAAGTTTCCCTAAGGTCTTGGAGAGCTCAGTCAACTTTTTTGATCTTTCGAAGCCTGAATTCAGTAACAGAGAATATATTAGGTTTGTGTTTTTGGTTTCTGGTAGGATGATGGAATACTAGAACGCTATTTCAGTTGATGTTGAAAGGTTATTTTCTGTGGTTGTGCATAAGGTGGTACCTCTGAAATGTCAGTTAAAACACCTTACTAACAATCTGAAGCTCTCCCTACTAATTTAGGGTACGAATGCAAGAAAGAAAGGGCTACCTAAAAACGGGTTTAAGAAGGTCTTCAAGGTCATTGAAGCTAGTGCTTTTCCAAAATTGAAGTTAATTTATTTAGGAAATCATTCTTTATATTTCACTTTTAGCTCCAGTTACATTGTGCCTTTCGGAAGCACTTAAATGCTAGCGAGAGAAGCCAGTCAGAGAAAGACAATTATCATATGATGTCCCTGATAGGAGGAAGTTGAGAGGCAATGTGGGGGGTTTGAGGGGTAGGAAAGGAATAAAGGAAACAAGATGGGATTGGGAGGGAGACAAACCAAAAGAGACTCTTAATCTCACAAAACAAACTGAGGGTTGGGGCTGGGGAGGGAGAGGGTGGTTGGGTTATGGACATTGGGGAGGGTATGTGCTATGGTGAGTGCTGTGAAGTGTGTAAACCTGGTGATTCACAGACCTGTACCCCTGGGGCTAATAATACATTATATGTTAATAAAAATAAATAAAAATAAATAATTTTTTTTTAAAAAGCACTTAGCGAAGAAATTGATCTGTTGATGATTCTTTAGGAAAAGGGGAGAAGATTGAAAACACATTGTTCCTATTATGCTCTCATTTTCAGTTGAGAGTTTAAAATAGGAGGCCTGGGTGTATTATAACCTTGTCTGTAGCAAAATTATTTGAGAATTAGACAATGTAAATTATAGGTAGAAATCCGGGGAGGGGGATGTTAGATACATGATTTATATCATACACCATAACACATTCTAAATGGTTTAGTAGTTAAGTGGAAAAAATAAAACTGTTATGCCAAATTACAGGAAACCATTCATGTTTTAAGGTGAGAAGGGAGTTTCTATGCATGGCACCCAAGACAAAAACCGTAAGGCTAATGATAAAGTATGAAAAAGAAAAGCCACTGCATATGAAGAGTTAATGCTCTTAATGCATAAAGAATTCCTGAAGTCCCTAAGAAACCAAATAGTGCAGTAGAAGAAACAGGCAACTGCCATGAGTAAGCAAATTTTAAAATACTTTATAAGAAAAAGGTTGTTTTATAGTCAAAGGAATGTAAATTACAACCAAATGATACTGAAAATACATCGAATTGGTAAAGCTTTTAAAATAAAATAACCAGTATTGGTTGATTCTGGATAATGGATCTTCATGTAATTGTTGGTAGTGTTATGATTTGGAGCAGTTTTCCGGGAGAGTAATTTGGGGAAATCTATAAATCTTGTAAAATTTAGTATAGTCTGTGACCTGATAAATTTATTCTTAGGAGTTTATTCCAAGAAAATAATTGAATATGTGTGCAAAGATACACAGTTAAGAACATTCTTTTCAGCTTACCTTGTAATACATGAAAAAGTGGGGGTAGTTTCATGTTCAGAGTGAGGTTGGTTTAAATAATATATTGCTCTTCCCTACAATGGAATATTGTATGTCTGGGTAGTAAAAATGACACCGTAAAGAGTATTTACTCATTTATCAGCCAACAGGTACTTGTTGAGTAACCGGCCCATGCCAGATGCTGGTTTCTTAGCCAAGTTTCTGCCTAACAACATGATAGAAGTAAAAAATACAGCATACATAAGTGAAAAAAGGCAGTTACAAATCTATATTCACATACATGTTTGTATGTACACAGATATTAGAGTAATATACATTAAAATATTAATAGATGGGGGTGCTGGCTGACTCAGTTGGTCAAGCATCTGCCTTCAGTTCAGCTTTAGGTCCTAGGGTCTTGGGATCTAGTCCCACATTGGGCTCCCGTCTCTGCAGGGAGCCTGCTTCTCCCTCTGCCTCTATTTCTTTGTGTGTCTCATGAATAAATAAATAAAATCTTAAAAAAAATAGATGGAAGGTTTGCACTCTGCATTGCCACCATTCTGCATTGCATTAATAGATGGAAGGCTGAATTTCTTCTGTTGCTTCTCTGTATTTTTGAAAATTTTAAATATAGAACATTTTTGTGAGCAGAATGGGATGCCCGGGTAGGAAGGAAGTAAATGCCTGTTTTTTTATGAAAGGAAAACAAGAACTAATACTAAGAACAACCTTGTGCCAGGTGTGTCTCATTTTCTTTCTTGTTAGTCACTTGAGGTAGTTCCCGTTTTGATTATCCTATTTTTGCCTCTGAGAACGCTGAGGCTCTGAGAAGTTTTTAGACGCCCAGAGTCACACAGATGGTAAGTGATGCAGCAGGACTCACCTCAGGTCTGTCTGCCATTACTCTGTTTGCTGTCAGTCATGCCTGCAACGAGTATGTTTCTTGCTTTTTGAAAAAGTTTGATATACTGCTTGGCAATTCCCTATATCTATTTAAATTGGCAAAATTATGTGAAAAAACCTTTTCTAATTAAACAATGAACAGATTTTCAATTTGGATAACATTGCTATTTTAAGTTTCAATACAGTTGTTTCGTCAAGTAGCAATTCTGTATTGACATTATTTAACATTTAGATAAAAGAGTGGAATTAGATTAATTTTAGAGATTTAGTGACTCCAAGACCTTGATTTTCCTTTATGGCCCTAATCTGTGATAACTCTGTTTTTTGACTAAGTAATTTGATAAATAATTTAACTCAAATCATCTAACTCTTATTCCTTCCTAAGAAGTTTCATATCAGTTCACACTGAAAAAAAAAAAAATACCTGTCAGACCGCATATACTCACTTTTAGTTAGGGAAATAGTATCAACAAGTCATTTCAAATCCTTGGCTTTTCATAAAAATGAGATACAGAATTTTTTTTTACTTTATTTTGCTTATTTTCTATAAATCCATGCCTAAACAAAAATTAAGCATATAAATACATAAAACCAGGGTGACTATTGTGATTAATTTGAGTTCTGAAGGATGGTAAGTGATGTGATTTTCTTCTGAAATTAAGCCTTAGGACTAATAAAGACCCATCCTGATTTTTATAAACTATGATCTCATTATACAATGTGACATTTTTTATCCTTAAGTGAAACATTTTTCTTAATTGATGAAATACAGATGTTTATAATTTTTAAACTTTGTTTGGATACACAGCTCACTGTTAACGAAGCGGCTGCTCAGCTCTGTGTGAAGGATAACGCTCTGCTGACGAGAAGAGATGAACTGTTTGCCCTGGCCAGGCAGATTTCTCGAGAAGTCACCTACAAATATACCTACAGAACCACTAAGTAAGTGTCTAACTAATTGGCAGGCAATATATTTTTGCATTGCTCGGTAGAGGTAGAACTTACAGCATTACCCATTGACAGAATATAAGCATTTTTTTTTTTTAAAGTAGAAGTGTAATGTGACTGTGGTTCTATAAAATTAAAGAGTGAAGTGACTTTTCAAAACATTGCTAATGGGGTTTTGTTGTTTTGTTTAATTCTCCTTTTGTTTTTCTTTTGAAAGACAGTTCTGTAGCACTATAGCATTGTTCTGGTAGTGGTTTTAACATTCTTCTCACACAGATGCTTTGGTTTTGAGTGTGATGATGAGATTTAGTTAGTATGTATAGACTTACTTGTATACCCACTAACCGTGTGACCTTGTTGAACTCTTGGTAGAAGCCAAGTGGTTCCTTTGGCAAGGTGTTTGCAATCCAATGAGATTAGTTGAATGGATGAAGAGACTCCATTGGCCAGTACTTAAAGGAACATTGGAAGATGACAGATTACATGGAATATGGACGTGTGTTGCAAATAAGAAGTGGAATATGGAATATTTGAAGTAAAAAACTTATATGTTGAAAAGCAGTGGTGGTTTTAAAATGTAATATAAACACGTCTTCTTGTTCATTTCGTCTTCATTTAAATCCTCAATCTATTGACTTCCTCAATAGACATCATTTTATTAGTTTCTTTTTCATCTTTCCATCTTTTTTGTCCTCTTGTCACACGTGGATTTCTAGTTCACCATGAGTTGTGTGTGCCGCTGCTTCTCTGAGGAGATGCAGATGACCTCCTGGCGTTAGCATAATTCAACGTGTGTTGAAAAACCACATCCTGAGCACCCTCCCTGGCCCTAATTAATCACAGTTTTGGGGGATGGAGTCTCGGAATCCAAATTTTCACAAGGGTCCGAGATTACTCTCATACCTGTTCACATTTGAAAAGCCACTGTTGAGGCATTTACTGTCATTATGGCCCCAAACTCGTAGCAGTTTCCTTTGCTATGCCTTAAGAGCCCACATAGACACAAAGTGAAGTTATTCAGATTAAGTGAACAGGCTAAGAATATATAGCAGCAATATTGTAGAATTACAAGAGTTTTTTAAGTTGGATAATTAAGAGCTGATTTAGTGACTTTTTTATTTTTTTCACTGTATTACACAAAATTTTCTGACTGCTTTATTTACACAATTTAATCAAGGTGATACATGTATATAATTTAAGATTTACGGTACATGGGGCTTGTACTGAAACTCACCAGTTTCCCTGCCCCCTTCTGGATACCACACCCCAGAGGCAATTGCTTTCCACAATTTTTAGCTGTTTCTTGTCGTATTTCCATTTATGTACTTTTTAAGTTAAATATATAACACACTTGCATAATTTAGAAGCCAAAACTATGTGAATATGTAATATAAAAAGTTACACTCCCATTCTGGTCTCCTTTAACTTCTTCCTCTTCTCAATAGAAGTGGTTTTATTAGTTTCTTTTTCATCTTTCCAGTCTGTGTTAATGCACTTGCAAAGATATATATTTTCTCATTTTTACCAAAAAACAGTAGGTAGTATGTATCTGTATCATTCTGTATTTTGTTTTTAACATGTCTCGGCAATCTCGTTATGGTAGTATGTACACATCTTCTTCATTATTTTTTACAGTGCCATGGTATTGCATTGTGTGTGTCTGTACTATGATTTTTTTAAAAGATTATTTATTTTTTAAAGATTATTTATTTGCAAAAGAGAGAGAGAGCGCACACGTGCACGAGCAGGGGGTGGGGCAGAAGGAGAAGCAGACTCCCTGCTATGCAGGGAGCCTGATGCTGGGCTCAGTTGCATGATCCCAGGACCATGACCTGAGCTAAAGGCAGACACTTAACCGACCGAGCCACCCCGGTGCCTCACCATGATTTATTTACCCAGACCCTACTGATGGATACTTGAGTTGTTTCTAGCCTGTTATCATTATAAATAGCATCATAATAAATAATGACATACATATTTTGTTGATTCTGAAATGTACTTTTCACATTTTAACATCTTTTACTTTGAAGGATAACTTATAATTGATGGCTTATTACAGTTGAATTGGCAGTTTCATGTATCTGTAGGTACCTTTGGGATAGAGTCCCAGCAGAGGGATCTCTAGGTAGAGGGAAAATGCATCTGTAGTTTCACTAGATAGACAATAGATGCATTTTAATCTTATGTAGCCTTAAGCATTCATCTTAAATGGCCACTTTGGGCATTTTATCCTGAAGTGTTCCTGCTGATCCATAAGAAGATATCATGCAATATAATCCTGCTTGATTTTTTTTGCCTTTTGCAGTATTTGATAATCATTACATATTTATTGAGTACTTTCTTTGTGGGGAAGTTTTTAGGTAGTGGACTTTTAAAATGTATAATATAATTGTGTCTGCGTATTTCCCTGATGTTAATTTAGAAGTGATGAAAAGTCTTTTTTGTTATGTCCGTAATATGAATGTCTTATTTCTGGTGTAAGGGTTTCAGGGGTATATGTTTTGGTGGAAGTTTATAGATTGAGATATCTTTAGAATAAAATTTGTTACCTTCTCAAGTTTTTCTCCCTCCCATTTTATTCAGGTCAAAATGCGGAGAAAGAGATGAATTATCCCCGAAGAGAATTAAAGTGGAGGTAAGTTTATGCATTAAATTTTCTTATGCTAATAATGTTTACTAGTTCAAATTGAAAAAAAAGGGCGTTCCATAAACAAATAAAAAATGTGAATGAATTGTAGAATCTTTAAGATAATACAGAATTTTGTTGCTTTGAAGTATCTGATTCGAACTAGAATAATGAAGAAATTCTTAGAAGGAAGGAACAATAATGAGATTGATTTCCATTCAGTTTATCACAGGTTGATTTGTCAATAGGTATTTCTTAGAGATTTAAAAACTCTACTCATTAAATGATTTTTTTAAATAATCTTATTTATATCATTAGTCATCTTACCAAGTACAAATTTAGAGAAGCTAAATGTTGTTTATATTAATGATCTGAGAGAAATAAATGACAATTTAGTATTTCCAAGTAATGGAGACTTTCCTATAATCAAGCCTCTTTTAGAGGATCATGGTTGAGGCTGTCCTTTTTTTTCTTTTTTCTTTTTTTTTAAGATTTATTTACTTGAGAGCGAGAGAGAATGAGAGGGGGAGGGAGGCAGATGGAGAGGGAGGCAAGTAGACTCCCCACTGAGCTAGGAGCCTGACAAAGGGCTCAGTCCCAGGACCCTGAGATCATGACCGGCACCAGAATCAAGAGTCCGATGCTTTAACTGACCAAGCCACCCAGGAGCCCCGAGGTTGTCCTTCTGATTTTAGGTCTGCAAGAGGTAAGGTGGGAGTTGAGCAAGAAAAAATATATCCTTTTTTTAGGGCTGTCAGAACTATAGAATAGTTTCAAAACTACTGTTCCTTAATTTGAATTGAATATATTTTTAAAGGCCGGTCTTCAGCAGAACAGAAATTTGAAGTCTAAGAGATCCTTCCTTTTTTCCCTTGGGCAGGGGATGAGGGCCTGTACTCATCCGTTAATTTCAAGTTAAAGCAAATCAACTGTGTTAGATTACCCTAAATTCTTCTCATTATTTTAACTAAGCATCTGTTCGTCTATAGTCTTTCAGTCACACCAAAGCTACAGTTACCTTTTTTTTTCTCTTAAAGATTTTATTTTTGAGAGAGAGTGTGTGTGCACGTGCACATGGGTGGGGGTGGGTGGGCAGAGGGTGAAGCAGACTCCCTCCTGAGAGGGAGTCCCACGAGGGACTCGATCCCAGGACCCTGGGTTCATGACCTGAACCAAAGGTAGACGCTTAACCAGCTGAGCCACCCAGGCGCCCCCACAGTTATCTTTTAAACATGTATCCCTTTCTCACTTTCTCACTTAAATCTTTCCAGTGGCTTTCTCCTGTGCCTAGAATAAAACCTACACTCATGGAGACATGTAGGACCCTGCGTGGTCTGACTCTATCTCCGTGTCTAACCTCATATGCTGCCACACTTCCCCATTCCTACATGTCCCCGCGAGACGGACCCACCCCCAGGGCTAGAACAGGCCGAACTCGTCCTACCTCAGCACTCGCTGCTTGTTCCCGGCGCAGACGGTTCTGCAGCTCTTCACGGGGCCTCAGCTCACAGCCGAGCTGCCTCTGACTTCTTGCCTCCCTTTCTGAAAGGGCACCTTTACCTCCGTCGCATTTAGGCTCTTTCTCCTGCTTCGTTTTGTTGGTTTTCACAGCATGCGCCGGCATCTGAACCTACGACGTATTTGTTTTGTTACCAGTCTGGCCATTGGGTGAGAATACAGCTCTTATCTGTCTGTCCACTGCTTTGTACTCGGATTTGGTAATAGTGCCTCGCACTTAGTAAGCACTTAATAAAATCACTGAGGTGAGATAATGAGTGGCTATGGCTAAGCATCTTTGACTTCTTAAAAACTTTATCCTAAAGCAGTGGTTCTCAAAGAAGAGAAGAATTTTGTCCAAAAAAGGCCACACTTTTAAAAGTTGTGCTTGTATTTGTAATCAGCGTCACTGTTAGCTCTTGAGTAATGTTTAAGACCAGTTAGCCTCAGATACAATGCCCAAAAAATGGCTGGAATGACCAAAAAGGCCATTAGAAGATAGTCTAACTCGTGATGACATGGTTTCATCCTGTTGTATCCCAAGGTAATGGACAAGAGAGGATCCCTGTAGATACAGTGACTCTGCCACAGAATGGGAAATCGGGTGACTACAGAGACTGCGAAGAAGCATGTGCTGTCAGAGGAGTTAGAGGAAAGAAGGTTCAAAACCTGCCCAGGGGCCAGGAAGGGTAGTCAGCCGCTGGCTAGAAATGCTGTCTGCGTCTTTCTCACCGTTGGCCCTCCGTGTAATTCTGACTCGGGCTCTCCTCGCATTGAAGCCCTGGTTTCCTTTTTTGTCTGTGTTCAGAGATCACTGTTGTATATCTGTGATCATGAATCTCACGGGCTGTTTGAGCTGTCACTGTTTCTCGTTCAGCTGTATTAATGAGTCTTCTGACCACCTCCTTGGTGGCCCTTATCTGAAATTTAAGCGGTGTTTTTTGTATCCAGCACAGGGTTTTGAGTTTCTTTTTAGTAGCTCAGAGTGTTGGGTTATAGCATTAGACGTGACCTTCTGTTCCTTCAAATACGTCCCACTAGAACTACTGAACGATGGTTCTGTTTGGTTAGTTGACTATTTTACTAACATTCCCAGAGCCGCTTGAACAGTTCTGGACTTAGAATTAAGGTCATCGGTGTTTCCTTCTTCTGGGAATAACAGTTCCAACCCTTCCTAAATAAGACAAGTGACTCATCAGCCCAGACCACTTTAAACGCTGTTATAGGCACTAAATTCTTGATTTTGTTTCCCAGAAATAAAGAGGGACCTGAGCTTTTTATCTGGGACGATAGTTTGCCTGTTTTGCTGGCCTGTTTAAATTTCGTTTTTGCTTTGTTTTTTAAAAGCACTTCTGGGTCGCAGGGCAACAGTCTCTCTCCCGAGAGTGTGTGTTTTATGCCTAGGTGTACCCACACATGGATCCAGGGTAATCCTTTGCAAAACACACAGTATTGGCACCAGTCCTTGTCTCTGTTCTCTTACGTACTCTAACTCAGATTCGAGATTCCAGTGCTACTCACTCGATTCCAGAAGCCGACACTGAGGGATTTAGTGTTCTGTGGGCTGTACTCCTTTATGACATTTCATCGAGTATCAGTGCGCTGTTTATACCTGTTTTGTATGTGGCCACCAGTGACGGGAGACACGGTGTGAGCTGGGTTTTAGAAGAAAGGGTTTTCAAAGGTCAGTGTCGGGTGGAGGGGCATTACAGAGGTAGACTAGTGTGGGCAAAGAGGGGGTAAGAGAATACTATGCATGTTTAGAAGAACAGTGAGACCAATTTGTAGAATTTATGACTGACACCAAGGACTTCATCAGTAAAACTGGAAAGATTTTAGAATTCTTTGAACATACTGTTTCTTATTTCATTTGAATTACTAATTTTCTATTAAAAGAAAATACTACAAAGATAAGCTTAGCACATTATAAATTATAGCAGATTACTAGGCCCAAGTTAATGAGAATTTTTTCTTTCATTTTCATTTTTCTAAAATCCTTAACAATAACCAATTAGCATGCATGCCAAATTGCTGACGTTTTTAATCTCAAAAAGATAATTTTTACAGTGTACAGAAAGAAATGTAATGTCCAGTAGATAAAATAGAAATGATATAAAAAATAGACACGTAAGGGAAGGAAACATTTTCTTGCATGGCCGTGCGTTAGGACACACTCACAAGACTAGCACTTTGTTCAAACTCGGGAAGGTGTTTTTTTGCCAAATGCTGTGATTTCCTGGTCTGTTCGTGAAGCGTTCGGTATAGGTTTTAAAATCCTTGTCTGACTTTTTCCTCTTACTGTGTAGTGGGCTGTCCCGCTTTAAGGATAGCTAGCTGTTCCTTGATGGCTCTTGGTTCTGTGGCGGCCGGGTGCTCAGCATAACCCCTTCCTGTAGGGAATGTCGGACATTAGGTACCAGAGATTTTGTACTCTCTAATTTGAGAGTAATGAAGTAGACACAGAGGAAAAAGCCTGCTGGCTTAGGAAGGCTGTAGGGAAACCCACCGCCTGGAATGACGCCTCTAGGGAAGGCGCCCCTTCAGCCCTGTGTGTTGGTGGGCGAGGTTTGAGAGTGGCTCTCCAGTCCCTACCGGATGAATGGCTTGTTGACCTGGAATACAGTCTTTTGTGTGGATCCACTTTCAGCTAAATGGAGACAAATTATGTTTGTTGTTTGTTTTTCCATCGGAGACCTCAGATCTAGCTCTGGGACACATGCAGAAAAACTTTTTTATTGACTCTATTAACGCCTGTCCCTGCTAGGCATTTGAAATTCATTATCACAAACCTTCTTGTTTATCTTTATATGGACACTTTAGGATTTCCGTTTATAGCCAAAGAGACACCCAGAGAGTCTCCGTGACTTGCTCAAGCTGCCGCATTTCTCTCTAGTGGCAGAGCCAGGCCTGCAGGCTATCTTCCCGCGTGCTGACGAGCATTCACACCACACCTTCGGTGTGAGAAGCACTATTGGCGTTACACCTTTGCTCCCACTAGTAGGGTACGAAGGCCGAGTGTTTGCGGAAGAGGTAGCCTTTAAAAGTGGGCGGTTACCATTTCTGTTTCAAGGAGGCATGTCCAAGCAATTGTTAAGTTTTGAGTAGGAAATGTAACAATGTAAATTACAAAATATATTTAAATATAAGGCATTGCCATTTGACAAACTGATTATTTGGAATGAGGAGAAGCATGGTGTTGGGAAGATAAACAGTAAATCAAGAAAAATTAGTTTGATTTTGTTCTATCATAACTATGACAGTATATTTCAGACAGGTTGACAATGAGTTAAAGATGAAACGCTACCACCCGAAGTCCCTGGCACTCGTGTTTTTTAAAAATAATAATGAAAAGTGGATTCAGTGGACAGCCTTTCTTTTTCATTAAGAACATAACGTGTTACATGAACAAATCCTGTCATCCCCTCCCGTGTTTGTAGTAAGTAAGGTCTTGGAAGACAGAATATGTAAGAGAACCGGCCATGGGAGCTGACTGCAGGGGCTGGTGCCATTCAGATCTCATCTGTAGCTTTTCTTCGCTCACCGAACTTGCTGGAGACCAGGCAGAGAGATGGGAGGGGACAGCATTCTTGATCCTGTGTGGGCTGGGAGTGCAAAGCAATCAGAGAAAGCTGGATGAAAGAAATGTAGTTTGTTAATAGAGACCAGAAAGTCAGAGAATTGGATCTTGAAAGACTTAGAGGAAACATCTGCGAGCAGTTTCAGCAGGGTAGGGTGGGAGAGGGAGGCAGGGGGAGGGAAGAGGGTCAGAACATCCACCTACGTGTTTACTGAGGTCGTTGAAGGCAAGCTGGTCTAATTTGATGTAGACTCTTCCCCCTTTGGATCCGAAAACAAGAAGCATTACAATCTGCTATTCATATAGAAAGTGTGAGTAAAAGAGGAAAAAAAAAAGGAAAATGCATGTGTGAGGCCGAGAACATCTGTGGAAACAAGCCGTTTTGAAGCTAAGCAGCGGCTGTAAAGCAGCCTGTGGTATTCGGGGGCGAGGTTGGGGAGCGGTGGGGGTGGACCCAGCGGCCCGAGAGTCCCGAGGTCACGAACAGCATCCCATCCTGGGTCTTGTTTTCTCCATGCTCAGCAGTGAGGGAGCCTGTGATTAGTGGTGGTAGCCGTGACAGGAAGGTGACGTGAAGACGACCTTGCAGATGAATGGCTCGTAGCGTGGTCCGGCTGCTGCCTGGGGAAAAAAGCTTGAGAGACATGCTGCTGAAGTCCTGCACCAAACGTCTCGTGAAAGAGACCAGTTTCTGGGGAATGTTCTCTCTCTTCTATCTAAGCCACGTATTTTGGGTCCCTGCAGACGTAGGTCGGGGAGTGACGGTACTGAGCCTTGTAGTTTGCCCGTAGGGAATAGTCAGAGACCGTGCGAGCGAATCAGAGTGACTCGCACCCAGTCTCTCGAGATTGCTGCTTGCTTGGTAAGGTGTACGTTGCTAACTACATGTCTTTGCCTCTCTCCATCAATGAAGGAGCAGTGTTTCCCAGAAACTGTTTCCCAGAAACTGCCACATGCAGTTTGCAGTCCCCCTTCCAGCTTTGTCGCATTCTCCTGGTTAAGCATTCTGACAGTGGTGCCACCACGTGTTTGTGTAGCAACGGCGCTTTTCCGAGAGTTGCCGTTTGTGTTACTGCATTTAACCCCCACGACTCTCCATTGGGTGGATATAGCAGGTGGTGTAATTTCCACTTAAAAATTGGGAACACTGGAAATCATGAGGTTAACTTCCCTCCCTGGGGTCACACATCGAATTCTTAGCACAAGAAGACTAGATCGCTCACTCTTCTGTAAGGTCCTTTAGAAACAGCGCGGGAGTCCTGGAGGTTCTGGCCTGGGCACGCCCTGCCCAGGGCTTCCTGAAAAGCTCGAACTATACATTGTCTCCCGCATGTTCAGACAGAGCTTTCAGAAACACAGATCGGTTTGTTTCTTCCCCAAGACCTTCAGTGGCTTCTCTTGAATTTAAGATAAAATCGACAATTCTTAACATGGCTTACAAGGTCTCACAGAATTTGGGCCTGCATGTCCAGTTTCTCTCACCGTTGCCTCTTTCTCAGTGTATTTCCCCTGGTAGCCGTAGTTCTTCACCTTCTGAGGGATGCCGTCCCATTCTTTCCACCTCTAGGCTTCTATACACGCTGCTCTCTTTCCCTGGAGAATTCTCTTCTTTCAAGTCGCGGCCTAGTATCATGCCCTCTCAGAAGGCTTCGCTGACGCTGGCCTCCACTCTGCTCTGGATCTCTTTGTCCTTTTCTTCCTCTAGACTACTTGTCAGGAGGCAGGAGTCATCAAATCCCCAGCATTTAGTACAGAATCTAGAACCTGTTGGGCAAACGAGACATTTTTGATGAGTGAATTAACAAGTATTTCCAGATTTCTGTTGTTCTTTCCACTAAAACCATTCCCTACCAATATGTTCAATATTTTCTTGCTGGTTTTAGTGTTAAATACCCAAGATATCTTATACTATGTAAGTAATTTCTAAGATGTTTATACTGTGTAAATTTCCCTCAAATTTATCTTAATTCCCCCTGTACCATAGACATGCAGTAAGTTACTTGTAGCCTGCTGTCTGTTTTACTGTGATTACTCCGGGAGCTTGAAAAGGGAACTTAATATCAGTAGCAGACCTTTAATTGGGTGATATCTATGTGCCAAGCACTGTGCTAAGTGTTCTTGATGAGTTTTTGTTCCTTAAAACGGTTCTGCAGTTAGCTGAGTAGACACACAAAGAAGAAACAGTCTGTCCAGTATTGCAGTCAGTCGGTAGTAGGATGGGGTTTTGAACTCCGTGTAGATCGCGGAGGTAGGCCGGTTCAGCCGGGAGAATGAGCGCTATGAGAGCTGTGCCTGCGTTTACTGCCGTGCGCCTTAAAAATGCCGAACAGGAGCAGAGGCTTCGAAGCCACTGTCCGAGCCGTGATGTGAGAGGAGCCTGCGGGCGTCTGTGCTGGGGATTAAATTAGGTGGACACACGTGAAATGCACAATGCAGTGGGGAACCGGGGGCACGTGGTCGTCACCTGGAAAATGATAGCTTCTCGTTTCCCAGGTCTCCTCCCAGCCTCCCCTGTTGAACTCACTGACCAACCCTGACCGATGAGTGCTCTTCACTTGAAGGAGAGACTGCTAAGAGAAAGCTAGATTTAGGTCTGAATAAGTTCTTAGAGAAAAATCGAATGACGAAGCACGTGTACTTTTCACTTAGATTTAAATTGCATCCATTTGTATAACGTTCATTCTAGCTCAGTTAACGATTATATGCCATACGTCCCTCTGAGTCCTCGTCTGGGGGGCCTAGAAAGGTAGCTATTTTCAGTGTTTTAAAAATGCTGATTGGGGGCACTTGGGAGGCTCAGTTGGTAGGGTGTCTGCCTTTGGTTGGGGTTGTGATTCCAGGGTCCTGGGATCCCCGAGTTGGGCTCTTTGCTCAGCAGGGGGTCTCCTCCCTCTGCCTCTCCCCCTGCTTGCTCGAGTTCTCTTTCTTTCTCTCTCTCTTTCTCAAATAAATGCTGATTGTATGTTGATCCATCATAAAGGTACATGAGACTATCTGGAGATGTCAGATTTATTTGCCCTTGACTCTATTTTATGTCTTTGAATTTAAAAATGGCAAATTACTTAAGAAATGAATTTGGGTAGATGAAATTTTTGAAAACATGAGAGTCACCGTGGAGAAATAAGACCCTGATGGGGAAAAACTTCTGAATCAGTATCCCTTACTTCAGATACAATATTGTGTTATTATTACATCTCTTCTAGGTTATTATAAGAACTTTGGTTTTTAATGATTTATCCTTTGCTACAAATACATAGTTCATGAAACTAGGAGAGAAATATTTTGGAGGTCATGACCATTTCTGTGAGGAATGCTTCAGTAGTTTATAGTAAATTTACTAAAATCACGCTGTTGTCATGTTTGTGGATATAAATTTCATGTAAAGCAGTAAATGAGCAAAAACCACTAAACAACCTGAAAAAAGTAGTAGATGGATTGGCCTTTCATAATAAAAAGTTCAGCGAAAGTCATTTAAGTTGATGTGCTGTGCAGGAGGAGAGTGCCTCGAGTAAGCTGTTTCATGGAGGAGTTTAGTGTGTGTTGACACACTTACGTGGCAGTGATTACGCGCTAAGTGACCACATCCTCACAACTCACAACAACCCTCACAGAGAGGTGCTCTTACCTGTATTTTTCATAAAAATATTTAGGAATAATTAGGAAACTAACGTTCTGAAAGGTTGAGTTATTTCTCTGGTGTTACGTAGCTGGTAAGTGGTAGAATTGGAACATGAGTGCAGGCTTTTTTTATTTCTTCTCCTCCTCCTCCTTCTTTGAAGATTGATTTGTTTTAGAGAGAGTGTGAGAGCAAGCAGTGGGGTGACAGAGAGAGAGAGAGAGACCTGAAGCACATTCCCTACTGAGCAGGGAGCCTGACTTGGGGCTCGATCCCAGGACCCCGAGATCACAACCTGAGCTGAAATAAGAGCCGGCTGCTTACCGAGCTGTGCCCCCCAGGAGCCTCCAGTGCGGGTCGTTCTAATTCAAATCCCTGTTTCCTGTCATGTGAGATGCTGAAGGAGAAATGACCACTCGGCATGGAAGAATTCTTCAGAAATTCAGATTGGGGTTATTGGGGAGCACTTTGAAGACCATTCACATTGTACATAGAACAGAATAAATTCTTGATGGGTTAGAGAGATTTTAGAAACAAAGCAAACAAGTAAAGCTTTAGAAAAACTAGAGGGTAGATTTGAGTATTTGTCAAATCTCTAAATCAGAATGCCTTTCTGAAGCTTACAGTTACAGAAGAATTTACAAAATAAAAGTGTATACAGCTACAATGTATAACATTTAAAAAATTTTGAATATCAATACAAAAATATGAATTGGGCAAAAATTAAGAAAACAACAAGACCCAGTGCTGGCGAGGAAGTCTGTTAGCCAGTAAAGGCCTTTGGGGGAAGTAGTGAATGAAAAATGTTAATAAAAATGTCCATCCCTTTGCAGTAATTGGACTAGGAATCTACTGTACTGGGCAACCTAAGCTATGGAAAGGGCTGTTCCTGTGAAAATACTTTTGCAGTGTTTTTCAACCTAAAAATAATCTAAATGTCCGATTTAAAAATAGTGATTATTACTAGTTGAGCCACTAGGTGAAATGCTATATGAAACGTTACACAGTCATTCCTATTGATGCTCATGAAGTCTGCATTCCAGTGTAGATGTGTAATTTTTACTATCTTTTTCGTTTGTATTTTTAGTGAAATTACAAGTGTAGAAATAAGGTACCATAAAAGACTGAAAGGAAGTATTCTACATTAAAATCTTAATCATGGTTATTTGGGCAGTAGGATCAAAGTGTTTGGTTGTCGTTCTGTTTTCTGAGTTGTTGGTATTTTATTTACAAATTCTAAAAAGGACTTAATTGTTGACCTATAGGATGGATTTCCAGATTTCCAGGACTCTGTGCAAACGCTCTTCCAGCAGGCCAAAGCGAAGAGTGAAGAGCTCACTGCTGTCGGTTCACAGGTAACGCAAACCACCAGTAAACGTTTCATAATAATACCTGTAGATTGAAAAACAAACGGGTGCTTCAGCTAGCTTCAGTTTTAAGCCTCTGAGGATTGGATTTATTTCTGGTTGTTTCTGAAAAGTCAACTGATGCACAGCTGTGTCAACAAGAGAGCAGTGACGACATAGTTTGATTGGGTTATGAGCAGAATCTGATACAGTGATATTTACTCTTTGTAGTTTTGTAGGAAGAAACACAGAGTCTCTACCTAGAGGTAGAGGAATTTGATACCAGGAAGAAAGCCATGTTGATTATGGCTGTGTGTTATAGAACTTTGAGATAAAACAGGACTGGTTCTCAAGAAAACATTAATCATCAGCCTGGTAGTTATTTTTAAGTCATTTTGATTCATGGATGAGAAAAAATTCTTGCCTTAATATGTATCTTCGGGTGCTTTTGCTATTGTTTCATCATTGTATCCTTAAATTAACGTTTTTAAAAAGTCATCTCTGCAAATACCACCTTTTAGAAAGGACTGTAAGTTTTATTCCTGTTGATCTTCTGCCTGGCAACTGCTCTTGGTCAAATTCAGTAGTGCCAAGTTTTGTTTTTTTTTAATTAAGAGAATGAAAAATACACTTCCTCTTTAGAAATCTTACTGAAATTTTCCCAATTAATTAGTAATAAGTTCAAATGAATTAAAGTTAAAGCTCCTTTTGATCTGGTTTATGTGCATTCAGAAAAATAGTATAAGCTTTTATCCTATTCTGTGAGTTAATATTTTTCATTTATTGATTTTTACTATCGTGAATCAGGATTTTTTGGGAACTAATTCTATACAGCAGCTTCCTTGTACTACCCTTCTGTATGGCACAGCAGTAAGTCTTATCTGCATTTTGACTATTAACTCCTTGGCAGACTATCACAAATGTACTGCTTTGAATATCACATATAAGTAATTTAAAGCAGTATATAAGGAAGGAACTTAAAAAACACATGGCAGAGATAAATTTCTATTTACTTGTGTATTTTTTTAAAGATTTTATTTATTTATTTGACAGAGATCACAAGGAGGCAGAGAGGCAGGCAGAGAAAGGGGGGGAAAGCAGGCTCCCCGCTGAGCAGAGAGCCCGATGCGGGGCTCGATCCCAGGACCCTGAGATCATGTACCTGAACCGAAGGCAGAGGCTTAACCCACTGAGCCACCCAGGCGCCCTTTACTTGTGTATTTTAAAGTTGTCTTTTTATGATTGGTTGGGAAATACTGCAGTTTCATTCCATGGTGAAGGGGAGAGTCTCGTTGGCACTGATGTTTTTCCTGCATAAATTGCATTGTTTAATTTCGGTGGGAGGGGTGTTTGTCTTGTCCTTCTAGACAGCCATTTTACACCTTTTCTCCCCCAACATGCTGTCATCATATCAGAGTATGCGTAGTGCCAGATCCTAAAATAAGAATGCCAAGATCTCACCCTGTGTGTTAGAAGCAGTTTCTAGCAGATGTTGCTGTTGCTCTGAGGTTCCTTTTTTAAAAAATATTTTAAAGGACTCAGTACTTCGGGAAACAAAGCTAAGGTTATTTTGCCTTTGAGCTGAAATATGGAATTCTCTTTAAAGGACGAGCAGGAAGGTTTTTCTTTTTCCCCCTCTTGCACAGAATCCAACATTTATGTTTTAACATGATGATATAGACATCTAAGCATATTTATGGAACGTGTATACCACATGAAGTGTGAACTAATTTAATGAATACTAAATATATTTGCTGGAGTCTGAAATTGGCATCTTTAAAGCATTAAAAAAAAATGTAGACTGTTTTAGTTCCTGATTTTATTTTTGCTTTACTTACTAGCAGCCTGAAAAGGTGATGGCAAAGCAGATGGAGTTCCTTTGCACCCCAGCTGGCTATGAGAGACTGCAGCACGCCGAGCGGAGGCTCCCGGCAGGGCTCTACAGGCAGGCCTCCGAGGAGCACAGCCCGAACGGCGCGGCTTCTGACACCTCGGATGGGCAAGGTGGGTCTTAGATGACCTGCGCTCGGCGAGCCGGGGGCTGTGTGCACTGTAGAAAGCGGCAGAAGTCGGCTTGTTTTTAAATCCTGGTATTTTAGAGTGATTATGTTCTTTGTTCCCCATAAAACTTCATCTTCAAATTGTCTCTTTTTCACAAAAGGAAAGGATTCATTCTGCTGATTTAACTAGCAAAAGTTTTGGGCTTGTTTTGTTTGTATGTTTGTTTTTTTACCTTATTATCCCTAAACTAGCTGACCCGTGCAGTTGACCCGTATTTTGTACGGGGTGAATGGGAATGGGACATGTAAACAGTAAAGATCCTTTTCCCCAAAGAACCTGATGCCATGGGAGACATTTATCAGTTTTTAAAAGCTCACAGCTTCATATTTCCTTGGACTTCAAACACAAATTTGTCTATGAAATTTATAACATCTGGTTTCTAAGAGGATATGGTAACTGCTTCTCAAGCACTGGGACAGGAGTATGGAGATGTGTAGAGGTAGTAGACTTGAAGTTTTGTGTTCTTCAGGCTTTAGACTGGCCACGGTCTCTATGAAACTATTTGGTGTGGTGCGTTAGCAATGGTCTCTTAAACTCCTAAGTTTAGAGAGCTGTGATTTATGAATATTTCTATCAATTTGAAATTTTTTTTTTCATTTTTGTTGCATGGACACACGAAGGAAATCTCACGTCGTTGTCGTGCGCTCATAGTCTCTTCCGGCGTGCCATACGCGCTTCTGGGCACCACGGGTGCATCGGTGGCGTTAAGTCCCTGCTGGCTCGCAGCTCACTCTCCAGTGGAGGCAGATGTACAGTACATGACACAGAGTTTCAGATAGTGATGTGTGTTTGAAGAAAAACAGTAATTTTGTAGGACCTTCTTGTCTTACATATTGCTATACTTTTCTAGTGAGTGGCTACCATTGTCAAAAAAAAAAATAGATTTCTAAGTGAGAATACTATCTTAACAAGCATTCTCTGCCTGGAGAGTAAAATATGTCAGCAGACCAGAGTGCTGGAGGAGAAGAGTATTTTTCCTTTTAAAAGATGTTACAGAAACTGCTGAGTTGAGGTCTTGTTTAACCTCTCCAATCATCCTTGACAGTTAAGACTTAAGAGTTTAAGAAGCAAAAGCAAAATTAATGAGAGACTGAATGACCGTAATTGGTGGAGCCAGGATAATGACACGTGGGGTGGCACTCTGCTAAGCGTGTGTGGGTCTAGGTGTATGACAGAAGGTGATGTGGCTTTTACGCATTTTTACCTTGTCTGTGCTACTTCTGTCTTCTTGGGTTTGCCACGGGTTCCGCTGTTCAGTAATGGGCAATTGTCGGAGCCATCTCTGTATCTCTAGCACTTGTTACATTATGTGTTAATGACACGTCTTGGTAAACCGTGCGCTGGTAAGAAAATGCCTTACAGAGGGGACGTACTCTATGCCAGAGCTGGAGTGCTTACTAGAAATCTCAGTCTTTTGTTTGGTTCATGTTTTACTCTGAAAAATGTCCTGGCAGAATTGTAAACCTTGCAACTAGCATGAGTTGCCATTTCCTTCCTAAACTATTATTTAAAATATTTCTCAGCTATTATTTAAATTCTTCAGTGCCTGTTGGCTTTCCTTATTCCTTTCCTAAGTAGTGTTCAGGGAATTCGTGAAAATGTATTTTTGGGGCACCTGGGTGGCTCAGTCATTAAGCATCTGCCTTTGGTCATGGTCATGATCCCAGGGTCCTGGGATCGAGCCCTGCATCAGGCTCCCTGCTTGGCGGGAAGGCTGCTTCTCCCTCTCCCCCTGCTTGTGTTTTCTCTCTTGCTGTGTCTCTTTCTGTCAAATAAATAAAATCTTCCAAAAAAATATATTTTTAAGAAAAACCATAGTATGTTTTTAATATTATTCATGCTTTTTTTTTTTTCCTTTTCCTTTAGGAGAAAGACCTTTGAATCTTCGAATGCCTAATTTACAGAACAGACAACCCCATCATTTTGTGGTGGATGGAGAGCTGAGTAGACTTTACTCCAGTGAGGCGAAGTCCCAATCAGGTAAGAATATGGGATGTGATTAGAGAGAGTGACACTTGAATAAGACATTGTTAAATTCTGTTTTCCTACTTTCCACTATCTCCACTCCTCTCCCCCATTCCCAGCCAAAAAAAAGGGTCATTACTGTTACCAGTTTTTCTCCCTTTGGAAATAATAGATTGCCATAATAATGGCCACTTATTTTTAGAACATGGTATTCCAAAGAATTGACAGGGAAAAACTCATGAGGGATGATACTATTTTGATTAACTGTTATACAGAATTTTAAACCTGATAATACCTGGCTGATTTGAGTTATGTAATTGCCTTTTTCCAGCCTTTCATACTGTGAAATCAATGGATTACATGTTTACTTGCAAACTAAGGAAACCTTGTATACCAAAATCTAAACTTTTCTTGCAGGTGCATTTTGGGGATGGTATTTATAGTTTAGAATTAAACTGAACTCCATTACAGGATAAGCTGTTCCATATTATAGTTAGATGCTTGACTATTTTTCCCCACGAAAAAAGTGAGTTAGACAAAGTATTAGAGAGCAGCATTGTTTGAAAGTATCTGGTACCCTACCATCTTGGAGGTAAAGTAGCGTCAGGAGTCACTTGAATGCTGTTGCTTCATCTGTGAAACAGACATCATTTCTGCTGCGTAGAGTAGGTGAGAGTATTAAACAAGGTAGCACGTACGAATTGCCTCGCTGATAGGAATCCTGTAAATGGTAGCTACTATTTCTAGACTCTTGCTAATTTTAAAATCTACTTTTGCATAGAGAGAGCAAATTCATAAATTGAGCTGCCTAATTTCAGTTGAGCTGTTAGTTTTGGTTACACGTCTAGAATCCTTTTTAAAGGGTGCATGTGTGTGTACACATGTGTGTGGCTATGTATCTTCCAGCATTAGTCCTTCACATAGATACTACATTTTCTTATCATTTGTAGTGTCCTCATGAGGTTGAAGTAACTACACACGCATAACTCCAAGGAACGGGTCCTTACGGGAGTGGCCTTCATTCTTTGATCTTGTTTCTCCCACCCTCCTGTTTTGTGGCCAGAACTTTTCATAAGGTTCCATGTTTAAATATGGAAGATGTTTTCTGTCTCTTTCTCACTGATAGTAATTAACTATTTTACTAGTAACTTTTTTTGTAGATGCATGACCAGTTTTTTTTTACATTTTTTTTAATGTTGAACTAACCATCAAAGAAAAATATGGTCTGTATGCATTTTTGTGCCTTTTATGATTTAACTCTCATGCCACCCTATATAGATAACTATCCCCATTTTATAGAAGAAGAAAGATACTAAGGTCTAGAGAGGTATGTGAGTTGCCTGGAGATGTACACAGCTAGTAACTGGCAGAGATGGAATTTAAATCCAGAATCCAAGCTCTTTTTTTTTGTCGGGGGGAGGGGGATTTTATTTATTTATTTGACAGAGAGAGACACAATGAGATAGGGAACACAAACAGGGGGAGTGGGAAAGGGAGAGGGAGAAGCAGGCTTCCCTTTGAGCAGAGAGCCTGATATGGGGCTCGACCCCAAGACCCTGGGATTATGACCTGAGCCAAAGGCACCAGCTTAACAACTGAGCCACCCAGGCACCCCCAGAATCCAAGCTTTTAATTGCAACTCTATAAACATAAAATTTCTGTATGGAATTGCAGAATTATGAATAGTTAAAACTGTTTGCTGTGGAGATTGGGGGTTGGTTTCATAAGTTGGAATTTGTTTTTTTGGATCCATGGATTTAAAGTATCAACACACTTTGTGTTTCCATTTTTATGCAGAGAGTCTTGGGATTTTAAAAGACTACCCTCACTCAGCTTTCACGTTAGAAAAGAAAGTCATCAAAACAGAGCCTGAAGATTCAAGATAGCTGTGATTCTCCCACTGTTCTCTGGAAATGGCAGTTGAAGGATAATGCTCCGTCATAGAACACGCCTTAATAACCAGCGTTGCCTCATTCACTCAAACAGACTTCATAGCCAAAGCCTAAGGACTGATTCGGAGTCTGCGGAAACCAGGAAGGGAACACGGCAGCCACAAAGGAGAAAATTGAGAGAATGTTGCAGTCTGTAACAGAAATACTGATCCATTCACATTCCTGTGTAAGTCGTTTTATGTGGAAAAGCTTACAAATTAATATTGTAAGCATTCATTATTTAAGAATGTACAATGTATTTGTGTAATTTATAGAAGTAAAATCTAGATGTGGAGACATGTTTGGTCCAGTAAATGTGGATACAGTTTATTTTACTTGAAATTTCACTATTTTAAGTGTGTTTAGCATAAATATTATTATAGGTTAGAGTTTAGAATCTTTGCAGTCATAAAGAAAGTTTAAGCGATGTAGTTATTGGCAAGGTTGCAATGGTTTTGGAAAAATGGAAAGCAAATGCTTACTTCAAACCAAGGAAAATATTGTGGATTTAATATTTGATAAAACCAACTTTGTTTAACAGGAAATACGTCATTTTTGGAAGTAAAATGTCACTTTTGCTGGCTCAGACCCACTTATACAATTAATAAATACTAAAGTAAAGTTTAAAAGATGACCAAGAGAGTAGAAAATCTCTCTTACGTGGTTGATTCGAATTGTAGTATATCATTCTCTCATCATAAAAATAGGAAGCTGGTCCTTGGACAGAGAACTTGCGACAAGTGAACTGATGTGTAAAAGCCGTGACTTAAACAGTGTTGAAGAATGTGTTGAATCGATTAAGTCTTAGTTAGCCCCAAATGTGATAAGGATGGCGACTGTCAGAAGGCTGCCATGTAAAACAGAGTCCGCGCCAGCGTTTGTCTAGCAGTTCTTGATGTCCTCGGTGGAGTCAGAGAAAGTAGGCGTCTTGCCCTTGGGGAATGTCTTCCCACTCAGACCGTCCCAAGTGTGGACAATTGTTACATCCACATTTGTAGGCATAATTCTGTGGAGGTTTAGTTGACACCTGGATTCATTATTTATTTTACAGTTTTGTGTACCTTTCATATTTGCATATGCAGTTTTTCTTTAAATTCATTTTAGCTTGAAAGTCTCAATTCCCCTATTTAATAAGTGGGCTGTGTGCATATTTAGGGGGCTGCTTCAATGTTGATAATGTCCTTGCATACTTACGAGAAGTTCACATTGGAACCCATAGTTTAAAAAAAATACCATTTCTACCAACTTACAGTTTTTCTGTTGGTTTAAGAGAAGACATTTGACAGCTTTACCTACTTCCTCCAGATTCATCTAAACCCAGATATTGATGAGAACAGCATCCTGAGTTGGGATATGTGGTGTTTTTTGTTTGTTTTTAGTTCTGCTCTAAGTCCTAACTGTGTACAAAATACTAAGTTATAATCCGTTATACGGGAGCTCATCGGCCACACATTAGATGAAATGTCTGGACTGTAGTCTCTGATCACTGTCACATGTATAATTGCTTTTTCATCCTGATTTGTAGAATAGCTTTATAGTAGAAACACCAGTAAACAACTTTTATACTGTTGAAAGGCTCTTTTCCCCTAAATGTTTTAATTGTACCATAGTGTTTTGCCCACTGAAGAAGCTTTTTATGGACCTTGCAACTTTGTTGCTAGCTTGAGATTGATTATTGTGGTTGTTTTGTTCACTGTGTATAGAAATAGTTTGAGTACGATCTAAATAGATTGTTCAGTTTTTAATATTAGCCATAGAACTGGTTAGTATCTCAGTAGTTTCATGAAACGTTTCCTGTATTCTAATCTATTTTGAGAAATTTTGTGGGTTTTTTTTTTAATTGTGTCTTACAGTTCAAGTTTGTAGATTTTAATAAGCAACAATTTTTAAAGATGCAGTGACCTTCCAGTTAATACTTACCTGTCTTTCATGGCCCCACAAACTGCATCTTTAAATCCATAAGTAAGTTTCCTTAAGTATCACACTTTCCTGGTCTTTCAAGCTTAATGATAAGGGGGAAGCACAAGAAAAATTTCAGTAGAATACAGTTTTTATTTTGTAAACACTAATGTATTAAATTTGCTATACATTGAAGCAAATAATATATATTTTTATTTGAATTGTATATATGAATTGGATGTTATAACTAGTTGATTTTTTCATTGTGTTCGAGGTATTTTCACTGAACAAGGTCAATTGGTTACCTCAGTATTATAGCCGATATAGTCCAAGGGACCGTTTCTCCCCAAGTCTGCGTTGTACTTGATCACGTGACGTCTGCGTTCCTGTGACTCTTACATCTGTTGGTGAGGTGGGACGAGTGCACTTGCTTCCTGTGGCAATAAAGATTTCTGTGCCTCACACACGTATGTGTATATACCTTCCTGCAAAGCACTTTTCACAGTAGGTGATGCGAGCCTCGCCTGACTCCCCTCTCCGAGTATTTGGTCTGGGCTCAGGTGTGAGGGGCCGGGCCAGGACTTAGGTCTTACGTCAAGACAAAGTATTATTACCAGTGACCTTTGTTTCTAGAACGTTTTTTGGCATATAGGTGCTCAGTTGACTGGTCTGTCGAGGAACGGGTTTGATTTATGTTGTTCTCACTTACGAGAGGTTTACAGAGACACAGTAAAAGCTATCCATCCTATCTAACCAACTAAATTAACAAAAGGAACACTAGCATTTAACATATTTAATATATTAATATTTGTAAAGTGCTAATGTGATGTGGCCTCGGTATTATAGCTAATTATGATACCGAGCTAACCTATGGTAGAGAATGAGCAGAAGCTTTGCGAGGAAGGTTTTTTTTGCTTTTTTTCCTGGAGAGAGAGATTGAGAGAGAGCAGGGTGAGTGGTCGTGAGGGAGGCGCAGAGAGAGGGAGAGAGAATTTTAAGCAGGCCTCACGGCCAGGGCAGAACCCGACTCGGGGCTTGATCTCCTGACCCTGAGATCACGACCTGAGCTGAAATCAAAAGTTGGGTGCTTACCTGCCACCCAGGCACCCCTGCCATGAAGTTGTAATTGCCGCATCCGGTAGATTAATGAAGAGCTTCCTGGGGTCCGACACTGTGCCGGCCGGCGGGGCGAGGGTAGAGGCTACAGAGGAAACACTAGGTGTGATCCTCGCCCTTTGTGAATCCAGCACTTCATTGAACAGGAACAAGTACCACTCAGATAAAATACACATTTCAGTGCCATAGGCTTGGGTGAACAAGGAGCGGACATTGAAGTGTGTTGTGTCGTGGTGCTGGTGGGCACTTGGCCGGTGAAAGCAAACACTGGCCTGACAGATGCAGTAGAGACCAGCCAGAGCTAGAGCAGTTAACAGGAGGCAAGGTGTGCTGGAAGGACATAGCGGCAGTGCATGTCCTTGCGCTCTGAGGCCACTTAGCGGAAAAAAAAATTCTTAGTTTCAGCCAGTTAGATCTGCTTGCCAGGATAAGAATTCTTTTTGGTAGTCCCACTGGACTGTCAGAAGGCAGGGGGTTTTCTTACGCCCAGTTAGTAAGACCACTTGGGTAAAAGCTTTAGGATTCAGTGATTATGGGGCTAGTAGCACCTAATGTACATTGACAATTATAGTTGATGGTATTTAAGACTTAAAACCTAAGTAAACATGCAGGGAATTTTCTCACGTGTAGTCTGCTCATGTGGTTACTCAGATGCGAAGAATTATTGGTACAAACCTCTTTGCTTCTGTGCTGTGACTTCCCTTAATACTGCACTGAGTGCTCAATAGAAAATCAACCAAAGTATTAACCTAATGAAACTAGGAGGTCTTTCTCTTATAGGAAATGAATTTGGTTAGCAAACAGCTAAGTTAGAATTGAGTAAATGTTTTGTGTTTGTAACAGCTTAAAGCATATAACCAAGTATGGTAGCCGCTCTTTAACGAAACACCACCGTATGGTCCAGCTGCGCGTTGTTTCAGGGAATCCAGGCTTATTTATTCCTTATCTGCAAGTGTCCTCATAAATGAGATTCTCAAGTGGACCTCCAAAATCAATAAAAGAATGATCCAATGTCCAGAAATGTATTTTTACTGTAAATATATTTAATCTTAAAAACCTTACTGTTAACTATTTCCTTACTGACTCTGTAAAATCATTCTTATTTTACATAGAAGTAATCAAAAACTAAATGCTAGGGGTACGATTTTTTTTTTTTAACTTTTTGAGTACGTAGTGGTTAAAGCTTTAAAACCTCTGATTTCGTTTCTACTGACCTATGAATATTTAAAAAAAAAATACCCTGAAGTTCTTTCTGTATGCAGAAAAATCTAATCAGAAATGTATTTTTAAGTTTAACTTGCAAATCTTTATCAGTTTAGAAAATTTTAATCACTTTTAAGGGAACTATGAATAATGATTAGTTCTATTTACAGAATTGGTTAATTAAGCTCTGTTGTTTCTTTCATATTCTCCTTGTCTTTTAAAGGCCACAAAATTTTTAAGTATTAAAACAGCATTCTGTTGAATTTGGGGTCTCCAAAATTTGGGTATCTGTTTGGTCACAGTTTCCAAGGTCGTTGTTCTGACAACTAAATTATCTACTTCCACCATATTACTCCCAATAACGTTAAAGCTTTGGTCTTTAGAAGTTCATCTTCAGTTAAAAGAAATGTTTATAGCAATTGGATAAAACCCTCAAACAAGGAACATCAGAAATGAATCACATAAAATACTAATCTTAGGGTTTTTTTCAACATATACCTGAAATGTTTAGTTATGATCCTTCTTGCATTTTATTCTTTTTTTTTCCCATTTTACTCTTCTTGCTTGATTGCAGACACTTCAGTGAGAAATTGCCTCTATTTAATTTTTTTTACTTTAGTATACAACTGCTGTCTATTTAAGTTTTCCAGCGTAAGTTCTCCAAAACATTGACTGCTTCACAAACTCAGAGAGTGAATTGAATGCTGCCATCAAACATATTGCAAAATGCAGATGAAATACATAAAACACTTGTTCCAGATAAGATGGTAGTGCAGCACAAATGTTGACATCAGCCTGAGATTTTTCCTCATCAGCTTCCGAAGAGCAAATGCTGTGACCGTCCTGGTGATCCAGGCAGGTGGGTTCGCAGCCTGGTTTTGCCGTGGGTGAGCGCTGTGATGTGCGGCTCGCTTGTGCTCCGTGTTTACACATTCCGAAACTTCATGAGTCATCTCTGCATTAAAAGTTCGCACCTCATAAATTCATGTTTAAAGTGCCATGTTTGTCACCCACGCACCATCCTAAGCAAGCAAGGCCATTGTCTTGTACCTGTCACAGACCCCCTCTGCTGCCAGGTCACTTGGGCTCAAGTCTGTGGGCAGATATTTAAGTGGCGTGCACGGAGGTGGCATCTTGCCAGGAACTGGCTCGGCGGAAACGTTTTACGATTTTCAGAGCCTCCCGACCACCCTCCCTGTCAACCGTCAAACCAGACACCCATGGTCTAGCCCCGTCCCCTGCCATTTGTCGTCCTTCCCAGAAGACAGTATCGTCTTTGGTAGCATATTCTGACACTGTAGGGCCCTTCAGAGGCTCATCATTCAAGTTCCAGTTTTGAAACCCTCTTTCCACCTTTGGGTCCCTAGCAACATAATGTGAGGACGTTTCCCATCAACAGTTAAATGGATGAGGTCGTCCTTTTCCTTTCCGAATTCAGCCAGTTCTTCTGTCATCAGAGCGTGTCCGTGTAGTAACTGAATCTTTTTGCATGCACTGGCTTCACTCTCAGATCGGA